TCCTTCTAACGAACCGCAAATAGAGTACAATGAATCCTAATATGGGCTCTAAGTTTTAAGAGACGCAACACGAAAGTTACTTAACGAAAGACACTCCTAAGGACACTTGAACCTGGATTTCCGGATGCGGGTTGGCCAGCCCCACACCCGAATGCTCGAGGATATAAAAAACAAATCGATAACAATCGAACACAGAATACAAATATGATAACTAAGAATAGATAAATTGCTGAAAGAAACTAAAATAATAATATATGAATAAAATCCTCAAAATAAATTTTCATAAATAATAAAATATTCTGATACATCCAATCCTCCAGTAATAATACAACTCGGGAATCGATACTATGTGGACCCTAGAAAATCCCAACTGAACAAATGACAACAATAACTGTCAACATCAGAATACTGAAACATAAAGGATCTCCTATGTAGATAATCCGAAAGAGTGAAGTAGACTGATCCCTACTCAACATGAACAACCTCTACTCCTGACGAATACCTGAAAAAATAATGATGGGTCAGGCCCACAAATAAGTTCTACTCTATTACAACCCAAGCAGAGATCCGATACACGTATACATCCTAGTCAATCCAACAATAAATAGTTGTCTGTATATATATATAGATACACACTATAGGACGTTCACTGGACTATAGGTTTGTCTCAACCTAAATAGAAGACAACATGCAAATCGCACATAAAGTGGACATAAGTACCTAAACTTACTAGGGCACCCAGGTGTCTACTATATCCAATTATCCATCCATGGCAATATGTATATAAAATCCATGATCCTGAGACTCAAGCTCATATCATGGCACCATAACTATATGTATATAAAATCCATCCTATCCATCCATAAATAATCCAGATAAGTCATTCAATTTATTCAGTTGACTTGACACGAATATAAGTAAGACTTAACATTTTTAGTTAATCCATTCCCTTATACAAAATAGGTAGGACTTAACTTCTTTGGTTAGTCCGTCCCTAGAATGCAACCGTCCCATACCGGTGCATTACAATGCATATGATCCATAAATGATGTAACAGGTAAAGTAATACATCAAATAAATTCACAGTTGATGCAATAATTTAAATACATCAAAAATCCAAAAATAAGCATAATAGAAATCAGATAGGTGATAATCATATTATGCATCCAATACATGATTAAAATCATAATATCCATATTAATTGCTAACTTAAATTTAAGTAATTAAATCCTCCATTATCAACATGCAAATTCAATTAGAATTTCATATTGATTAAATCCTTAGTATAATAAAAATCAGGTAAATAACTGAGCATATTACACTACTAATACATGATTAAATCATATAATATCCATTTAAATTGTTAGAAGAAATTTAAGCAATTAAATCATCAAACAATCATATGCGAATTTATATAAAATTTCATATGCGAATATGTATGTAAATTATGCTTCCTGGGATTTAAACATGTCAATTAATATTATTTTAAACCCCCATCATCAACCAACCATCACTGGAATCCCAAAAATGCCAAACAGTAGCCAAATTCCGTAGCCCGGGTAAAGCCCTAGGAGTAGAGCCGCCTCTACTCCTACTATCCTCCATTTTCTTCGTCATCGGCGACTTTCGGACATTCCGATCGCCCCGTTAAGGTCCCTAAAGGTCCCAACGAAGTCCCATACAGTTCCAAATAATTATTTGAATATATTATGCATCTTAAACACCAATCAAAACATGTTCCCATGTAATAAAATTCAAGATTCAGCAAGAACACAAAATAATACATAAATCTGTTTTAATTCAATTCAACCATGCATACAAAGTTAATTTATTATCTCATTAATCCTGGAATCTCTTAGGCAGTATAGAACACGAAATCTAAGGGAAAAAGTTAGAAAAAGAACTTGCCTCTAGGTTTCGGATTGAGACCTTAACCTCTTCTTCATAACTTTTTCGGCGATTCTTGGCCGTCGTCGAAGCCTCCTACTACTTTGGTTCCAACCTCGGAACAGCCCTCAATCTTCCTCCTTGGTCTGGCCTTAAATCCTTAACCGAAACCTTAGTTTCTTCTCTCTTAAAAACTCTCTGTTTTCTCTCAAACCTTCTCTGTCTCCAATAATACGTGAATAGGGTTCTAAACCCTTGGCAGATATAAAGCATATATATATACATATATGCTACACTAAAACCCTAATCCTAATTATACCCCAAGATTAATACAATAAAAGGAAAAGGAAAATAAAATATAAATATACATACATATACTAAGTCTGATAAAATGTGACTATATATATATTTATAATATATAATTATAACTATATATATATATATATATATTCATACCCATCTAACCTCCTATCCAAGTACTTTATGTGACCTATTGGGTAGTCCATTACTACCATCCAAATCCAACTCATTTTTAAACTAAAATAAAAATAAAAATAAAATAATTAATCATTTAAAACTAACAAATAATTTACAAGAAATTTCACACAATTAAACAAGCAATTCTCATACTATCAATCAACTAAAACACACAATTAAATCACATATTTCAAATAAACAATTAATCAAATAAACTCATAGCCACATACGGACATAGCCACCTAATCAATTAAAAATGCACATGAAATAAATAATTAAATTTTAATTATATCCTTTTAAAAATTAGGGGTATTACAATTAGGGAATGTTCAAGGCCAAAAGCTACCTATCCTGATGTAATAACTTTTCGACTATACTCTCTTTAGTGTTTGCATAATCATTTGCATTTTAGCAGCCAATTTCCATTCATGTGGGGGATTGTTAGAAATTTGGTGTGAATGAAACTTATTAATCAAGGAGTTTATAACTGGAGTGGTGCTACCATAGCTTTTGCAACACAAATAACCCATGAGTCTGGTTATTCATGTAGAGTGTTTCTGTAATACAGAGTTTCCAAATTATAACGAATTCTTGACACGTGATTAAGTTGTAGTAATAATAACGTGGTTGAGGATGGGTTAGAAAGTAAGGATAGCGTGATTGAGACTAAAAAGTCGCATTGAATCATGATTATATTTGTGAGTTTAGGTTACAAACGTTGACAGAACATAATGTTGTTGACTATTGGCAATCGGTTGCATTGTTGGTGAACAAACGATGAAAGGATACGTTTATGAATCATGTCTATTTAAACCAAAATTGCATTATTTCCAAACAGACACACCCATACACCAAGAGGCATCTCTAAGTCTATAAATATCCCATTGGGCTGTCATAATTCAATCGTTCATTTTTTCATTCTTTTCTTCCTCTCTCAACATAAACCTAACCCAAGAGGGTGTATGTCAAGCCATAGGTCAAGTGGTCCAAGCTGCCTAGACCCAAGAACAATATGGATAAGCCATATTAAAATTGGTCTGGGCCATTTCGTTCAGATTGCACCCAATTCATTATTTATAGTATAGATGTATTTTTGAGTCAGAGAAAGTATTACACTGAGAGGTTCGTCGTATCCACGAGTTTGAAGTGCTACTACTAGTGGTTTTAGACCGTTGTATCTTGGGAGACAAGTGTTACAGAGTCCATCAGCGCCGTACGGGACGTAAATTGTCTTAAAGACATAGTATCCAATACTAGCCTCGATTCTTTATTTATTATTATTATTTTATTGCATTATTCAGCATGTTTAATTAAATATCGAGTTGCATATTTAATTAATTTTTTTCAGCATATTATTAATTATCTTGTGATATATTATTATATGGTTTGTTATATATTAAATGGTATATGAAGCAAAATTTTCAAACACAAACTACATTGGTAACAACCCTGCACTAGAGATGATTCATTGCTTAAACCGTGGAGGGAGATGCATTTTGTTGGTGGAGGAAGAGTTGGACATGTACCTGTGTGGTATAGGACAGGATTTATTACAATAGGGTGTGTGTTAATACTTCATTTAAATATGTTTTATGGTCAATTCATGAGTGTTATAAGTTCAATTTAAAATGCACAAGAATAACGTCTAATTACATACTAAAGGAGGGTGATCCCAACACAACCTAAGAACAATTATTTATAAAATACTTTTAGTATAAATGAAATTGCTACTTACCCAAGGGACATAGCGGTGTTGGCAGGGATTTGAAAGGTAAGTCCTTGAGGTCTCGTTTTCGAACCGCACTCTTAATTTGAATGGTACAACATGCGTGCTCTTAGGAAAGAAATAAAAAAAATTGTTCCTTTCCTCTTACGTAAGAAAAAAAGAAAAATTTAGTAAGTAGATTTTATTACCCTTAAAGAAAGAAAAAAAGAAAAAAAAGAAAAGAAAAGAAAGGATGTACAATAAAGTTCAAAACATACTACTACATTAGCTATCGAATTTGAAAATAGAAAAGTCATGGTGGACAGGGAAACAAATGGCATGTTTGGTTCAATTTTTTTAAAATAAATTTAAAGAACACTTTTTTAAAAATTTATCAAAAATTGTTCTCTAAATAAGCATTTTTGTATTGAGTTTTGAAAAACTGTTGACCAATATATTTTTGTATATTGTTAAATTTTTAGTTCCCTGCAAACCTAAATTATTCCTAAAAAAATTGGACTAACAGGGTTGCAACTTCTAAATTAAAAAGGAGAGAGAATTTTATTACCTTTAAAGAACAAAACAAAAACAAAAAAGAAAGGATGTACATTAAAGGTCAAAATATGTACTAACTATCGAATTTCAAAATAAAAAAGTCCTAATGGTTAGGAAAATAAATGTTTGTTTCAATGTTTTTAATTTTTTTTTAAAGAACTCCTGAATTTTTTTTTATAAAAAAACTATCTAAGATTTAGGGGCTGCTTGGAATGGAACTCCCAAAACAGTTTTCTGTTTTGGGAGATACAAAAAACTATTTTTTAAAATAGTTTTTTTGGTCTGCTTGAAACTTATTTTCACAGAACAATTTTTAAAAAACTGAGAACTCATAGTATCAGTTTTTAGAGAACAAATTTTACGTATTTTGAGAGTTTTGGAAACTCAGTTATCATTTTTTAGAAAACACAGAGAACGCCCCCGACTTAAAAGGTGACGTTACTTTCACGCTCGTTTAAAACACTTATCCTTCAGCAACCCTCTCAGTCCTCTCTGATAAACCTTACGACTCGTTCTTTCTCAACCCCCTCTCTCTACTATCTAGACCTGAGGATCCAGACTCATTATCATTCTTTAGCATCTACTCTCTCGCCCCATTAGTATTTCAAGAAGCCCTTCAGGTAATCTTCAATCACTGTTTCTCAAACAAAGCCCTAAAAAATACACCATCTCTAAGATTCACTCTACTTTTGTTATCGATCTGGTAAAATAACTTCGATTTGCTTTTTTTTTTTTTTTTTTTTTTTTTTTCTCTAGTTTTATTGTTGATTTTGTTGGCTGAATTTGCTTTGGTTGTGGCTGGATTTAGGTTTTCTTGTTTTCCATTTTGTTATTGATGGGGTTTCTCTTTTTATTTGTGTGTGTGTGTATATATATATTGTATATGCCTTGGCCTTTGTCTTGTAAAATTGATGCAGTCCATTCAAAAAACGAATTAGGGATCTGTCTTTAATTTTTTTTTGTTCCCTGTTTGGAAAACCCATAAACAGATAACTATGATTTTTTTTTCTTGTGAATAGAAAACTTGTGAATAAAGAACTCTAGGAGAATGTTATCGCTATACACACACACACACACACACACACACACACATATATATATACACGTGTTAAATGTATAAGTGATATTTGCTTGCAAGAGTTTCATGCTACATTGGGTCATATACACCATCCCCTTCACAACTTATCTGCGGATTTGGACTGTAAGACCATTGATGAGAAAAAGAAAGAGTAAGACCATTGATGGTGGATTGCATATTTAATTGTCTCCCAAGGATCCTAGTATTCGCGAAGTTGACTTTGAAGATTGAATTGTGAGGAGGGCAGAGAGAGAATCAAATTGTGGAGAGTTGATTCCGTTCTTGTATAATAGCTAATTTAGAGCTAATTTATGATATATGAGCATTGCTGTGCTAATTTGTTTTTAAATAGCTAATTTAGATTGAATATTACGTGAGATATTATTTTATAATTGGCAAATTTCGGTAACAAAACAAGTCCTAGTCGAGTTATAATTTCAGTTATCATATCAGAATCGACATTGACTGCGGAATATGGAAGGTTGTTCAGAAAAAGAAAATACTGTTGATCATAAAAAAGGAAAAAACAACACTTTAGGAAAACGTTTCCCACTTAGGACACAAATACCTATAAGGTATATGTTCAGAGTTACCAAAATACAGAAAATCCAAGTTTCAGTTAGATTCTGTCAAGTAGGAACTGGTACCTGAATTTGAGAACCGGTTCAAGATCCTCATATCGATACCACTACTACTTCACTTTAAAGAAACTTTGTCCTTATTAGTTTTGGACTCCCCAGTTGGTTTAGAAGTTTACCAAAAGTCCTATGCACAAAATTTTCTTTATTTTCAGAAAGAATAGGACTTTGAAAACTCTATATAAACCCTAATACAGATCTAGGTTTATTCATGGCTTTAGTACTACAACTGCATTATTCGTAAAAGTTTTAAGAAGATTATCTTTGCAGAAAATCCAAGAGATTTATTTGTCATCTTTCTAGAACACATACACATAAACACATAGTGAGTTTAGAGTTCTGGTGTTCAAAATCCTGTTCATGATCATACAGTTGCATCCACGACGATCAAAGAAAAACATATCTACTTCTACATCAATTCAGATATTAAAGAATAGAAATAAAAGCGATCACACTTTGAAAGGGTTTGAGCATTCGAGGAGTGTTGTTAAATCTACCTGCACTCTTTTAAAAAGATCAAGCATAAGCTTGAGGTTACGTTGCTGTTGCATGGGATGTCGCAAAGCCAGAGGGTTGTCAGCAATTGGTGTTTGGTAAAATGATAGAGTGTGAGCCAGGGTCAAAGTTCAGTGTTCTTTGTTTCAAACATAGTGGATCGATTTACTCTAGACTGCACAGTCCACGAGATTTTTCTCGCGCAAATAGTTGACGTATTTTATCAACTGGGGTTTCCTCGCTAAAAATCTTGGTGTCATCTCTAACTTTTGATTTTGCTTTATTTTATCTGCATGTGATTAATTGTTTAATTACTAAAATAAGTAAAGTTGAAAAAGATACAGATCTGTTTTAAAAATATACAAAACTTTCTAAATATTCCGCCGCGTATAACTCACAAAGGGTACTTACTATAGAGACCTGAATTATGAAATCAACTTGGCAGAGGGCGAAATTAGCCTTGAAGTTGACGCTGCTAAAATAAAAAAGTACCAAACAACCTTACGTGTGTCAGGCATTGACAAAGCCTCCTGAAACGGGTCATTGGTGTCCAAGCATCAAGTTAGAGACTTCCAAAAGGATATTAACAGAGGCTGGAAAACAATATGTTTTTGATATAACAAAAGCAGATCAGATGTTCAACGGCGAATAAAATCATCGGCCAATCCAAGGAAAAATGAAATCCCTAGAGGAATTAAAAGGAAAAAGTTTAATTGCAAGTGGCATATAATTTATATCATCACTCTACTAACAATTGCATTGTGGTTCGCAACAAAATACAGAGTATAATAGAGAAAGGGTAACTTCAGTTGCCTGAGAAGAAGCAAGAGGCAATGGGGGTTGATGATAACCCATTTCCTGCAGTGGTAACCAATAATATTATTTGAGTTTCCAAGGCTAATTAACCACGCAAGAAGATGAAAACGGACTGAGGGCGACCAGAAGGTAAAAAGCAGATTACAGCGGCCAAACACAAGCAAGCCATAAAGAAATGGAGACAGAACTAAGGTATTTCTTTTATTGCACAAGCTTACCAATATATTAGTTGTAATATGATTCATATTCCTTATCAAAGGGAAGCATAGATTTATTTGGTTAATATAAGTTGTTACCCTAGATGTAAAAGAGATTGGAAGACTGCAGTGGCTGAAATTGAAAAGGTGCAGAACACTCTTAAAGGGGATGCAAGATAGACCCCTAGATTGAAGAGTCTTTGTGTGGTCAGATCTCCATCTACACCAAAGACACACACAGGGGAACAGAATCAACGCCCTGTGACTGAGAGGCTCACTTAAACTAAGGGAGCAACAAGATCAGTCCCTAAAAAGTTCAAGGAGTTAAACGAATTTACATTTGGTCCTGGTGCCGTATGAGATTTCAAGGGGCTAGAAAGTAAACTTCAAGTCCATGGGAGTATAAAAATAGACCCAGAGCAGAGCGATGAAACTCCAAAGGGCTGATAATAAAGAGTGAACGGTGGTTCGTCATCCCAAGTTTTCAATCATTGATGATTGGTTTCAGCCACCTATTACTAAAACGAAGAAAAGAAGATTACAGAAAAAGCGTGTATGGAGGCGTAAGGCCGAACTTCATCATTTACCCATGGTTTAGAAAGCTGGCAAATGGCGTTCAAAGCATAGTAAGAAGGTCATAAGCAAAAAAATTGTTTGATAAAATTTTAGGACACCACTTAACATGACAAGTACCATTTAAAAGAGGTCAAAATTTTAAACGTCGAGAATGTTACTTATCGCTTATCACAGAAGACGGTAAGTGGTTGGGCTTAAAAAATAAGTTTTTAATTACTACTCTACCCTTATATAATCACGTTATCTCTTTTAGGGATTCTCTATGTGATTTCTCTAGGGCCTCTCTATAATTTTTTTAGACTTCTCTCTGTGATTCTTTTTGCGTCTGAAAATAAGGTGATAGAACAAATTCATGAAAAATACAATTTTACCTACAATATTTTAAACACTACATATAGCCTTTGCTAATGAAATGAATTACATGGAAAAAGTTCCCAAAAAATAAAAAGACATAATTCTATATTGATTCACTATAGAAAACAATTATTTATAAAACAGAATTCTACTCAATTTCACATACATTCTTTAATAGTTTTAACACCATTTTTATATCCTACATAAATATTATGTAGTTATTTATATAACAGAATTCTATTGCCAGAGAAAAATTGTCTTTCACGTACTTTCTTAACACTCTTTTCAATACCCTATCATGTAATCTATAACACATATATTTTAAATTTTACTTTCTTTAATCTTTTGTAACATTCTTTTTGATATCCAAAACCTATATATTTTAAATTTTCATTAATTATTTATATAATAGAATTATGTTCTTAGATAAGAATTCTTTTTCAATTTCCATAATTTTTGCAACACCTTTTTCAATACCCTACATTAATATTATGTAATTCAAAACACATATATTTTAAATTTTACTGTCTTTAATTTTTGTAACACTATACCTACATAAATATTATGTAATTTAAAAACCATACATTTAAAATTTCCATCGATTATTTATATAATAGAATTTTATTCCTAAATAAGAATTCTTTTTCAAGTATTTTCTTTTTAATCTCTCTCTGTAACACCCTTTTCAATACTCTATCTAGATATTACTCAATCCAAAATTTATATATTTTAAATTTTACTTTTTTTAATCTTTTTAACACTCTTTTCGATACTATGCATAAATATTATGTAATACAAAATTCATATATTTTAAATTTTCATATTTATTTGTTTCATTGAGTGAATGTGGTTGTTTATGAGTATCAGGTATTGAGGGCAAAAATGTAATATGTACAACTTTCAGATTTCAGCTTTTGTATATAACAAACAATCTTAATGAATTCAATACTTAAAAGTAAAATATTATCAAATTGGTTTTCAAATTAATACATTCAGAACTTAAATTTTCAGTGCTTAAAATTCAGTACTTGAATTTTTAGTTTTATCAAGCCGCACCTTAATCTATTCAGAACTAAACGCTGAATTGATTTATCATTTTCTAATATTTTTTTGAATTTTCAGCGATCAACCCTGACATGTTTGATATTGCTATTCAGCATTTAACACAAAAAGGGTACACAAATTTTTAAAATTAGCGTGTTTGATAACATTTAGGGATTCTCATTATGCTTGGATGATTCTAGACTTGAAAGTTTTTAACTCTTGTAAAGGTTGGCTTGGAATGCCACTTATAGTCTTTTATGTCAAAATGTATATATTTGATTCCATATATGTAATGTGTACATGAGTACACTCTTTACAATGTAGTTGGCATGTATGAGATGAGGCTGGAGGCCAATGACATGTATTTCGTATACTATGTGATTTTTGACTTCATGGAATATTATGAAAATATTAAAGATTATTAGGTTTTCGTTTCACCATGTTTGCATTGGGTGTGGAAATTCCATTTTGATTCTTTCATAGGATTTCATTAGTCATGTATGAAGTGTGGTCAAGGACCAAACGGTCATTTGAAGTCATTTGTTGATTTTAGTTTTCAAAGTTTCCATTTTAGGTTCATTTTCGCCTTTTTGGCCGTTGGGGGGTCGGATTTTGACTCCACCATTTTCAGGAGCCATGGACTATTCCTGCATGCTCAAAATCACTTATTACGTGTGCGTGCATATTCGTTTCAGCTTAGAAGTGCATTTGGGGTCAAATGTATGCTTGGTGCAAAGTTGCATTTTCGTCGTTTTGAGCCTAAACTGATTTAAGGGCATTTTAGGGATTTTTTTTGAAAAATAAATTCCATTCTCAACTTTGTCACATAGAAAATGTGATTTTAGGGGGAGTTTCCTTTTTGTGTTTTTCCGAAAAATATCATCTTGGCCTCATAAACCGCGCTCCAAACTCAAAAATCTGTTAAAAACACTGTTCCTAAAAATTTTGAGGTTCTAGACCACCATCTGCCTCATTTGGCGGGCCCCCGCAGTGTTCTGGTGGGTGCCCACGAGAATCTGCCGTGTTTGGCGGGCCCCCGCGGGTCTTGGATGGGCGCCCGCAAACACTGTTTCTACTCCAGACATTTTTTTTCAACAGGCCATATCTCAATCATTTTAACTCCGAATTGATCCGTTCTTAAGTCTAAATTGACCCGCGTCGAAATGAGCTTTCCAATGGTACCAATTAGAGCTTCATATTCCTCTTTTAGCTCAAGATATTCAAGTTTTAGTAAAGTAGTGTCAGGATTTGGTTCGAACCGGAATAGGTTTCCCTTTCTTTGACTTCAAGACTTGATATCTTTTCCGTTTGAATTCCGAATTAGGTGATTCTTGAGTCTAACTTCATTAATTTTTCATTTTCTTTCCAATGGTACTAGTTTTAGTTTCAGAATTTTCTCCTAACTCAAGATATCCTTATTTTAGTGAGAGGGTGTTGGATTTGGTTTGAACCGGGATAGAGTTCATCTGGGATTTCTCTTCCTTTGGCCTTAGGACTTCATGTGAAGTTACTAAAGGATTTTTTAGGATGTTTTAGATCTAATTTGACTTGTTGAAAGTTAAATTCCTTCCTCTTAGGGTAAAATGATAATTTTACCCCTGGCCCTTCTCTTGTAGGGTTTTGATGCCCTTCTAATTATTTTGTTTCCGTTGAGACTCGAAACTCTTTGAAAGTCCATTATTGTGCCATAGGGATCACGTGCATCTCTAAGGACTTATCCTTGGTTTGCTTTCACGCTTTATTCATTTGGGTTCCGTGATCCTCATGGAAGGTTATCTTCGGGTCTTAGAGGTGTGTTATGCCTCAGGAGATCATTGTCTTCTTTCTTGCTTCCGCATTCTGGATTCGCTTCGAGTCATCACAGGACACACTAGGTTGAAAAATTTAGGGTCGTTACACCTTATCCAAGTAGTCCATGGAACTCAATTGGTTGACCCGTTACTACTAACCATAAAAATAAAATAAAACAAAAGAAACATTTAATCTACAATTTATTACAAATAAACAACACATTAATTAAACCAAGTAATCAAATAACATTCAAGCACATAATCAGATAAGTCAAATAACACATTTAAGCAAATAAAATATGTAATTAAACAATTCAATTAAACACGTAATCAAATAACCACATAATCAAATAAATAAATAAAATGCAACTAAAATATTTAAAAAATAATACCGAGACTATCCTTTTAAAATTAGGGGTATTACAAGAACCAATAGATCTAAACAACCAGCCAGTGCAATCTCATCATTCCAAACAAGATGAAGATCCTAGCCACAGATATACTGAAACGGCAACAGGCCGAAATCAAACAACATACTCGGGACCACACATATCCATGTTACAGTCCCCACAGCAAACCCAGCGAGAACTAAGAAAGTGTCTGGCGCACAAAAAAACTACGTTACTCTAGGAGCTCCAGGCGAAGGCAGCCAAGAGGGCTAAAGCCCAATCTAGCTCGTCTCTCATGACTTTGCCTGTGTAGCCCGCTCTCCCAGTGTTTTCGGGTGCTACTGAGCCTCTGATACCAATGACTTATCCAGAGGCCAAGGTCTAAAATAGGGCACTACCACCTAATCCCATGTTTAAGGAAGACAGTCTGGTTACTAAGTCTAAGCTGAGAGATTTCTTTCTAAAGAACTCACCCGGTGCAGCTCAGTCTTTGGCGCTTCAAAGAGAGCCACCTTACCTATGTAGTGTTGCCCTGACTTCGTACCCTGCCGGTTACCCGTACCTAAGTTTCCCAAGTACGATGGCATAACTGGCGATCCAGAGAAGCATATCAAAAGGTTTGTCAAGGCACTCGGTGGATACAACCATGATACTCTGCTACAATTACGAAAGTTCTCAAAATCGCCCACCGAGTTAGCGTATCGGTGGTATGAAAGCCATGAGACGGACTCTGTAACTACATGGGAACAACTGGTGGACAAATTTTTGGCAAAATTCGGTGAGTCAAAAGAGCGTATTACTACGCTCCCTCTGATGAAAGAAACTCAACTACTAGGAGAATCACCTCTCAAATTTGTTGCTCGTTTCCAGACTCGAGCTAAAGAATGTTTCGAGAATAGTAGTGAAAAGGATTGGGTAGACATCTGCATACAAGGCCTCGAGCGGGGCTACCGGGTCAACCTGCGGCTCGACAATTTCACTGACCTCATTCTAGCAGTTAGAAATCTCGCGCGTGACCTCCCAGAGGTTCTTAAATCAAATATCGCGCAGACACCCACTTGTAGGTCAGACTCGCAACCACCAAAGGAGGATCGTACCAAAAAGCGTAAAGATGCGGAGCCGATGGAACACACACAACAACGAGATGACCCACATCCATTCCCGGTTCACATGAATGCGGTGGCTAATACATTGAAGAAATGGCTACAACACAGCGATATGGTTCTACTAGCACCCCGACAAATGCCTACAGTCTAAGAGCGAGCTAGCTCGAACTTCTGTATATACTATCAGACAACGTCTCATCCGATTACTGACTGCAGGATACGGAAGTGACTGTTTCAGACTAAAATTGCCAATTGCAAGCTCGAGGTTACCAACCCGGCCAATAATTGCCAAGTTCCTTATCCTCGACATCCAAGCGCTGTGGCAGGCATCGCCTGTTTTGTTGAATTCAATGAATACTCACGCCCTCTACCAAGAAATGAATTTGATGTCTCAACTATAGAGCAGTGTGCGGCTGCTACTTCTTCTCACCCTTACACAGTAAAGGTAAAGCCTCATCAAATCAAAATCGCCCCCTTTATGCTACTAGCCTTCTCAACAGTGTCGAGTTTAAGCGCACTTTTATCAATAACGGCTCATCTATCAACATCATTTCCTTGGCTGTATTTCAAAAGTCCAACATCCCCATGACTTACCTTATCAAAGAGCCCATCGAGATAGCAGGTTTCGATAACGATCTTTGGCGTACTTTGGGTCATGTCACCACATATTTTACTGTCAGCAAATTTCATGCACATCCTCGATTTCATGTCATTGAGGCTGAAACTTCCTACCACATTTTACTTTGCCGATCGTGGATGCATCGGTTCGGCCTTGTGCCCTCCACGTATCATCAGTGCTTCAAAGGCATTTTAGGGAATAGAGTTGTTACTGTCCCTTGCTCCGACCAACCTTTCTCTAAAATTGAAGCTCACTTCATTGAGTCCCTCTTTTTTGACGAACTTGATGAAGAGGCGCCAAGAGAGGCCCATTTTATCTCCACGCCAATACCTATCTGGACCAAGCACAGAAAAACATTTTTCCTCCCCCGGGGCCTTACACAGCCCATCCTCAC